ACCTGCTGGGAAGACTTAGGGATGCACTCAGAGGGCAGTTTTCCAGAGAGCTTTTGCACTGGCTGGAGACAGGTTGCTGTTTGCTGATTCCCAGCTCTGGGGGGGTACAGTCTTTCAGCAGACAGAACCTGACCTCTCAGCCTTTGGGGCTGCACTGGAGCATTACTGCAAATGAGTATTTTTATTCTGGCATGGAGTTAAAACAGAAATCAGGTATAAACTTGACTGAAAGCAAGAGGCATGAGTCCTTCTAATGTGTCCAGTTGTATGCAACATGTACCAACTGCCCCAAGTCCTGAGGGTTAGAGAAAAGTCAACATAAAAACCATCAGGTAGAGAAAACCAGCATGGGATATACCCTGCTGGAGATCTGGGCTGGTGCTGCTGGTCACATTTCCTGCAGGGAATGCTTGTCAGTCTGCTGGCACCTTCCTGCAGGCATCTGGGCTACCTTGGAGCTGCTGAAGGAATCAGTTCTGTGCTTCTGGTGGCCCAGGGCAGAGCTGAAGATGTTCACTCTGTGGGTGAGGGCTCTTTGCTCACATGGGCAGTGGTTCTGAATGTCTGTAGAACAGAATTAGGCTTCTCTGAACATCCTGTTTCTAAAGTCTTTTGTAGCTGTGGTTGGGAGAACAGGTTCTTTCAGTAGGTCTCATTCCAGAGGAGAAGCTTGATGACATAAACCTGGTTCAGTCTTTGCTTTAGGCTTCAAATCTGTGGTGGTGGTGAAGGCTGCCCTGGGGCTGGAGCCTGAGAGAGACTCCAGCCCCTGAACCTCTGACCTGTTGTCCTTCCTGGGTGTCTTTCTGTGGGGAAGTGGTGGCTGGTGGATCCCTCTGGGAGAGCTTGTTCAGGGGACAAACCTTCTTGTTCATGCCTGAAAAACTCTCCTCACTTTGGAGGGGAACAAACCATCAGAAATGGCAAATGAGGCTGTTCAGAGGCTGTTGGCAGGAGGGACTGTCAGCCAGAGCTGCACGTGGCCTGTTTTCCTCTGAAACCCACCAAGAGGAGGTTGTTTTTTTTTTCCCCTTCCTCTTCCCAGGCTTTGTTGCTCAATGGATCTTTACCCGAGGATGAGCAGGAAGGGTCCTTTGGACTTTGTGAACGTGGAGCCTGCCCCGAGGAGCAGCTGGTGAGCACGTTGCTGTGCCTGCACCTCCCAGGCCAAGCTCTGCCCCAGGCAGGTGTCCTGTCCTGCACAACTAAAACCCTGGTATTTTACACCCAGATCATCATTCGAAGTCGCCTGGACCAGAGTGTGGAAGAAAATCAAGACCTCAAGGTTAGAGGGGGGACAAGTGAAGGGGGAAAGAGGTTTTGGGTCAAGGGATCTTTGCAGACTCTGTCTTACTTGATGTTGGTTTTTTTGAGGGGAGTGATAGAGCAGGGACAGCAGAGTGGGTGGTACCTGGTGTTGGTGCTCCAGCTCTGCTCCCATCTTCTGCTGGGCAGGATCTCCATCCCTGGATATCATAGCACACTGACCCAGAGAGCACCCTCAGGATTTGGCTGAGAGGTGCTTCTTGTTTCCATATTAGCAGTTTATAAAAGTTCACAGAAGTTCACAAAACTTTGTGGGACAGCACCACAAACCCAGGTGCTGTTTCCCTTCTTTCCCTCGAAGCAAAGCTGCTAAAATCAGCTCTGAAATAGGTTTGTTTCCCTGCCTGCTCTTGAAGCTGGAGAGATGCAGGTTGTACTGGCTTCTCCAGACTTTCTCCAGGACAGCTGTGAAGTTTCTAGCTGGGTCTGAATCTAAACAAGCTTTCAAGTAGGAAATCAATGCAGCCAGGAAGAGCCTGCCCTGTCAGGGCTGCCTTAGCTCAGCTTTCTGCTGCTTCTGGGACCAGTTGTGATGCTGGGACAAGTATCTGACATGGCTCTGAAGGAGAGATCTGGGGGTCTAGGCAGCCCCTTTTCCCTTCCTGGCTTTAATAACAGGCTTAGGGAGCTGCTCAAGCCTTGTCATGTTTGTAACTCATTTTCCAGGGCCTGACAGTGGGAAAATGTGGGATTTGCTTCCTTCTGAAGGGAGTGTCTGGGGACAGGACACAGGCTCTGGCTGGCTCTGAAGGGGTGGCAGGAAACCTCTTAATCACCTTGTGTTGCCTTGACAGAAGGAGCTGCTGAAATACAAACATGAAGCTCGAAACCTACAGGGAATAAAGGTGAGGAGGGGGGACCCTTCCCCAAACAGCAGAACTTTGGTGTCTGGCTCTGGGGGGATGTTGCAGTTAGGACAGCAAGTTGGGTCTCCTGGGTTCTGTTCCTGCCTTAGGGCTGTGGTCAAATATCTCCTCTTGTCTGGTTCCCCCAAACAAGGTGTGACATGCAAAGTGCCTGCTTAGTTCTCAGGGCTCTTTATTTGTTTTTCCTCCCTCTGTCCTGGGCTTTGCAGAGCAGAACTGGCCCAGTGAACTCATTCTTGACAGCAGAGAGAGCCTGGGGGGATCCTGGTCCCCTTCAGCTGCAGAATTTCTCACTACTTTGGCTCCTTTCTGCCCAGTTGCTCCCTCTGGGGCTGGGAGCTCCAGTTCCTGAGCAGAGGCACTTCCAGAGCTGCCTGTTGGGCTCCTGTGAGGGAGCAAACAACAGGAACTAAGGTTAAGCACAGAGTGAAAGGTGCAGAATTAGCCCTGATTTTGGCCCCTTCAGAGAGGGTTTCAGTGCACACCTGGGTCACTCTGAGAGCTTAAGTGTCCTTGGCTGACAGAGGCCTCTTCCTGCCCCCTGGATGCTGCAGATGCTGGAGACACCAGCCATGGAAAAAAGCCTCCCAAGACACTGCTGTGCTCTCCTACAAGAGCCAACAGGCCACTTTGGAGCAGTAAGATTGGGGAGAAGCACAGAAATGTCTGTCCCAGAAGGCTGGAATATTGGCAGGGAGGTCCCTTTTGGGGTAAGGGAAAAAAAGAAAGAAGGGGCAGATGTTTAAATACCTCCTCCCCTCTTCATCCCCAAGTGTGGCCACTGGTTTGGGCCACTCACCTCCCAGGGAAGGGTCTGTACTTGCCTTGCACCTTCCTACAGACAAACATCTCTTCCTAGGATGCTTTGCAGCAGAGGCTGATCCAGCAGGATGCCTCAGTTCTCCAGCTAAAGCAGGAGCTGCTTCGAGCCAACATGGACAAGGAGGAATTGCACAACCAGAACGTGAGTCCCTGCTGGGGGGGGTTGGGTTATCCTAGAAGGAGATTGGTGGCCCAAAGGGGGTTTCAGCAGCCACAGGGGTGGAGTTGGTGGTTGCAGCACAGCTCTTGGGGTTGTGGGATAGGGAATGACCAGAGGTCTCTGGAGAGTGAAGCAGCCTGGCCAGCTGTGGGACTTGCTGGAGTTCCCTGTTTTTCACTCCCACTTCCTGTCCTGCAAGACCTTCAGCTGAAAGAGAAGGGCTTCCCATGGTGTTCCCAGTGCAGCTGCATTCTGCCTTCCTCGTGGTGCTTCCTGGGTTAGCACTTTTGGCAGGTGGAGCTGCCACAAAAGTGTCTGGAGAGAAAAGGGCAAGGAAGGACCTGCCACCCTTAGACACCAGCTCCCTTCCACTTGGTCTCAGGTCATCCTTTGGCAGAAGGGACAAAGGTTGTCACTGCCTCTCCAGGAACACCTGCCTCACACCTGTGTGTTGTTTCTGCAGGTTGACCTTCAGAGGAAGGTTGAAGAGAGGAACCGGCTGCTGGCAGAGTACAAAGTAAAGGAACCTCTTCACTGGAGGCTTTGGGGGCAGCACCTGGTGGCTTTTTGGTGCTGTGGATGTGGCTGCTGCCTGCCTGGCACCTCTGGGAGTGGCACTGGGAATAAGCTGCAGTAGCCACAGGATGTTTGTGCTGAGATGGAGGGACTGTGTGTCCCTTGTCTTCTGTGCACGGCTTTCTGTAGTGGGTGTTTCATGCTCATGGGTTGCTGTGGGGGCTGGCTGAGGAGCCAGCACCTGGGCAGAAGCCTGTCAGGTGAGGTTGGGTCACCTGATGGACCAGTGATCCCTCAGGCACCTCTTTGTCGTGGTTCTTTGCTGGGCGAGGGGGTTCCAGGCAGCAAAAACCTGCCTGATCGTGTCAGAAAAAGGCTTTGACACCCACTGCCACCATCCAGCCTGGGATGCACACATAGGGAACCCAGCCTGGAGGAGTCTGGCAGGTGACCCAACCTCCCCTGCCGTGGGAGGAGGGTGCTGAGCCTTGCTCACTGTCCTGCTGATGCTCTTGGTGCCTCTGTTGCAGAAGGAGCTGGGCCAGAAGGATCGGCACTTGCAGCAGCACCAGACCAGGCTGGACGAGGTGCTGAGGCAGCTTTCTGAGGCCAGTTACCAGCAGGTGTGGAGCCCGGGGGCTGCACTGGTGCCCTGGGACCTGGCACTGCCCCTGGGGGCTCAGCTCCTGCTCACTCTTTGCTCCCCTCGCAGGTGGATCTGGAGCAGGAGCTGGAGCACAGGCAGGCTCTGCTGGCTCACTGCGTGCAGAGGGAAGCTGGAGAGGTGAGGGCTCAGGCTGCTGGGGTGACCCTGCTCTCCAGCTCTCTAGCTGCTTCTCTCCAGAAATCACCCCCTTCATCCCAGGGGGGGCTGCCTCTGCAGTCTCACTGTCAGTCCCAGGGCTGCTGGACTCCAAGAGGCACCCAAGCAACCCCCTGGCAGGGCTCTCAGCAGCTTCTGGGGTCAAAATCCTACAGGGAAGGAGGGGAAGCCAAAGGCTCTTGGCTTCTGCCTTCAGCTCTGACACTGCCCAGTGGTCAGACCAGGGCTTAGCTTCTTATCTCCTCCTCTTCCTCCTGTTGAGCACTGGGATCTGTCTTGGTGGGAAGTGCCAGCCCCCATACCTGCAGCTGCACTGTGACACCCAACACTGTTCCCTGGAGCCTGCAGGGCCCTCTGGTGCAGCTGCAAAGCCCTTCCTCTCTTTTTCTCCATCCGTACGTGAAGAATCACGTTTGTGCCCTGAGCCAGAGGCTGCCTGCACACCTCCTGCTGTGCTTGCATGGCAGGAGAGGGGAGTTAGCACTGCAGACAGTCTGGATGCCCTCTCACCATTGTGAAGTTGGCCAGTGGGGATCTTTGGGGAGATCCTGTCCTATTTCTGCTGGCACACACCTCTTCCTGCCCTGCCCAGGTGCTGCCTTACAGCAGCCACAGTGCCCAGAGCAACGGCTTCCTCCAGACAGCAGGGAAAGGAGCTGCTCCCACAGCCCACAGAGGGGTAAGTGCACCCCAGGGGTACTTTCCCAGCCAGATGCCATAGAACCATGGGATGGTTTGGGTTGGAAGGGACCTGAAAGATCATCTAGATCCAACCCCCTGCATGGGCAGGGACACCTCCCACCAGCCCAGGCTGCTCCAAGCCCCATCCAACCTGCCCTTCAACACTGCCAGGGATGGGGCAGCCACAGCTTCCCTGGGCAACCTGGGCCAGGCTCTCACCACCCTCACACTCCACAATTCCCTCCTCATCTCTCACCTCAATCTCCCAGTTCTCATCCATCCCCCCTTGTCCTGCCACTTCAAGCCCTTGAGAACATCCCGGGAGCCCTGACCTTGCCAGGAGAGCCTTCCCCTTGCAGAGCTGCAGGCTGGGCTGGGAAACAGGCAGCCTGGAGCTGCTCTCCATGTCTCTTGGGCAGACCAACGACCTGCAGCTGGTCCGCGATGCCCTTCGCAGCCTGAGGAACAGCTTCAGCGGCCACGACCCGCAGCACCACACCATCGACAGCCTGGAGCAGGGCATCTCCAGCCTCATGGAGCGGCTGCATCGCCTGGAGGCACACAGGAGGCAAGAGAGAAGGGTAAAAGCTCCCCAGGGCACCCGGCCCTCCCACCCCTGGCACACACACACCCCTCCACCTGGGGAGTGACACTTTCTTCCCACCCTCTCGGCTTCGCTCCCTAGATCCAGGGGAAGTCACCAGCCAGCAGAGCAACAAAGGAGTGTAGAGACTCCTGGCCTCCCAAATCCAGTAAGTGCCTCTCAGCTCCTGCTCTCCCACTGCTCAATTCGTGGCTCAGGTTTCCTGGTTGGCCTCCCAGGGCACGGCATTCCCTTGGGAATCCTCCCCCTCCAGCTTCTTGCTCTTCCCGGAGCTCCCTTTCCTCCCCTGAGCCACCTGCTGCACAGGTTTGGGCCTCCCTGTCCAGTCTGAGCCCCTGGGATGGTTCTGCAGTGTCTGGAACAGTGACCCACCCTGAATCACCCACAGGGGTGAGTGGGAAATGGGATGCAATTCCAGCTTTCCCGCTGGGTTGCCCCATCTGGTGGGCACAGAGCTGCACGGTGTCCTCATCCTTCCCAGGTTCTCTCCACAGTCTTTAGCTCTTTTCCTGTTCTGGCACCAAGTTTCCTGGCTCCAGCAGCTCCACCTTTTGCTTTTCATCATGACAAGGCTGGGGTTTTTTTTTTCCCCCCCAGTGTTGGATGGAACCACCAAGCTGGGGATGTTGGAACTGTGGAGTCACTTCCCTGAGCCTCCCTCTGCTCCAGCTTTTGGGATGGTGCAGGGGAAGCAGGAAACAAGGCAGAGAGGGAAACACAAAGGAGGAAAGAGAAATCCCTGCAGAAACACCCACCCTGGCCCAAGAGAATGGGAAGGTGGGGAGGGGACAGGACCTCTTGTCTTGGTGATCAGTCCCTTCATCCTGTTCTGTCTGCAAGGGATAATGTCACTTTCCCTTCCAGAAAGGTTCTCCTGTCACTGCTGAGGGTTGTGGGTGGAGGGTCCGTGGTGCAGATGGTGGCACCAAGTCCCTCTGTGGGTGGGACAACAGCCCTGGAGGGCAGTGCTGGGCACAGTTTCCCTGCTATCACCACAGCAGATGGTGACCCTGCTATAAAATTCTCCAGCAAGCAGGGGAATTCCTGGCAGAGATGATTACCCACCCTCCAAAAAAAAGTATATATATATAAAAACCTCCTCCCATCGCCAGGTTCTCTGCCAAATCCCCTGTTCCCTGCTGCTGTGGCAGCTCCCCAGGCTGTGCTCTTCTCCCTGCAGAGCTGCCCCACTCCCACAGCACCCCAGTGATGAGCCCCAGTGCCTGCACCAAAGTGCTGTACTTCACCGACCGCTCCCTCACCCCCTTCATGGTCAACATACCCAAGAGGTGAGGTCTGGCTCTGCCTCCTGCTGTGCACAGGGCCTTGCTTTCCTCCTGAAAGGAACAGCCTGAGTGCTGCTGGCCATGGGCACCATGAGCACAGGGTCCCTGTGCATTGACTGGGGCACTGGGTTCCGTGTCATCCTCTGTGGGAATTGTCTAGAGCAGTCCTGGGGTTGCCTGATTTGTGCTAGAGCCAGGAGGAATTAATGTATTATTTGTTATCATTATTTGTTATCATTATTTGTTATCATTATTTGTTATCATTATTTGTTATCATTATTTGTTATTATCTCTAATTCTTTATAATTCTTTTTATTGTTTTTATTATTTTTGTTTGGTTTATTATTTTTATTGTTTTTTATTATTTTTTTTATTATTCTTATTCTAATTTCTTATTTAATTTATTATTTATTGTTATTATTCTATTTTTTTACCTTTCAAAAGCAAGAGGAGGCAGGCAGGCAGTCCTGTGCTGGCACACAGGGCAGGATGCTCCTGCCAAAACAACTGTGCCAAAGGGCCAGTGAAAAATAAGAGAAGCTTTGGGGTGGCTCCTTAGGAAACCAGGGGACAATTCTTCCCTCTGGAGAGGAGGTTGGGATGGGTGGGTGTGTTCCTGGAGGGGCACACTCAGCCCCTGGCTGGGGTGCTGAGGCTCTGCCTGCAGGGCTGGCTGGTGGGGCAGAGCCAAACCCTTCCCTTGCAGGTTAGGGGAGGTGACCCTGAGGGATTTCAAGGTGGCCATTGATCGGGAGGGGACCCACCGGTACCACTTCAAAGCCCTGGATCCAGAGTTTGGCACAGTCAAGGAGGAGGTGAGTGTGGAATTGGAGCTGCCAGTGGCTTTGGATCCGGTGCTTCCACACACAGACCCTGCTCACACCACTTCTAAACCGGTGGGATCTTTGAACTTGCCCCCAAACAGACACTTTATTGTCACAGCTGGAGGTGAAGCTGCTCTTGCAAGGAGCTGAGGGGGGATGTTCCCATGGGTGTGAAATTGCCTGGGTGCTGCAGAGCCCCTTGGGCCAGGGGCTGGTTGTTAAGGAACAGCCTGACTGGGTAACAACCCTGACTACTCTTCCAGCTCTCAAAGGGCTTTAAACAACCTCATTGCAATGAGACACACTTTAGGGAAATGGGGTTTATTTAAAAAAAAACCCAAAACAACACGATCCTACTTCCTTTTCAATGTTTCTCAGTGTATGGCATCTTTTCCTTTGTGCCCTGCATTGCTGCCTTGTGCTCAGGCTGCTGCTGGTGTGGCTTGGAGTCATTAAAGGTTATTGGGATAGGTCGTGATTAAGAAATTAATAAGGGCAAAGATTTACCCTCTCTGGGGACTTTCAGCTGGAGCAGCTGTGGGCTGGCTCAGAAAGGGCAGGTTTCCTCTCTTTATTTTCCCTTTTCTGTCAAAAACGTGCCCATACTCATCTTGAAAACTACTGGATAAAGGGCTTTTAACCTAAATATTCATCAGACCTGTGGAAGGTGGGTGAGGTGAGTGTTCCCTGGGCTGTGCCATGAAACCTGAGCTCGGGTCTGTGATCTGGTGCCTCTTTTCTGCTGCTCCCAGGCTCCAGGCATGACTCGCCTCCCTGTTTTTATGTGTGTCTGTAGGTGTTCCATGATGATGACATCATTCCTGGTTGGGAGGGGAAAATTGTGGCCTGGGTGGAAGAAGACCACGGGGAGAATTAATCAAAATTCCTACGTCTTGTTGCTATGGAAACCTGTTCCTGGCTGCTGAGCTGAAGGAAGGACCAGGAAGCGCGTCTGCTGGAGGGAGCCCAAGCTGCCAAAAAAAGAGGCTTTCTCTGCACACCAGGGGCCATGCATGTTGTGTGGGTGGACACCTGGCACCTGACTGCCCGTGGCCAAATGCAGAGTGTGCTCTGAGACTGCAGTGACAGGTCTGTGGGAAAGGGACACCTTGTTTGGTCCCGTCCACTACACCCCGAAGGCCTTAATGACGACCTGTTCCCTCGCCCTGCTTCCCCCTCCTGCCCTGGGCACTGGGCACTTCCAGGCTGGTTTCTTGTACATGGTGTTTCACTGAGCTGCACTGACAGCAAAACCCCGAAGCTTGGAGTCAGAAGAAGCTACAAGGATGTGAGCTGAAGGTGTGATCAGTTTTATTCCTGGACTTGCACGTGCTGCAGGAGCAGAGTGAACTTTCTGGACATTCCAGACTGAGAAGATGGAAGTCTGACCTGGGGAGGGAAGAGGTTTTATGTGTGGGCTGGAGCAAAGATCACTAGCTTCCCTTTCCTCTCTCTGCTTTTCCCACTTGCCCTCCAAAGCTGCCCTCACTTCTGGGGATGCTTTGTTGCCATGGGGACTGTGGGACCTTGGTGCTTATTTGCTGAAGGATTTAATTGGTGGGGGAGCTGGAATCAGCTGCTTCCCTGGAGCACTTAAACCCCTTTCCTTGCTGAGCCTCTTT